ATATATATATATATTAGTTTTAAGGTTCGTACCAAATTGTGTGCAATTGGAGACAATTCAAGAAACTTGACGCTAATTGATAGTGCATTGTTCGCTGTTTGTTTGGATAATGAGAAGAGCAATCATTCGGATCGTGTTATCCAAAGTTTATTGTCTGGTGATGATGCCAGAAACAGGTTAAACTTTTTAACCTTATTTTTCCAGGCAGCTGATTAAAAAATTGATCCGTGTTATTAGCTATTTGTGAACCTATACATTTCATCTAAAAATTGCGAACAGTTGATACGGAACATGCTTTTTTTTGCTGTCTGGATTCCAATTTATTGTTTCACACTTGTAATTATTTGCAGCGAAGTATTCCAATTTTCTAGATGGTTTGATAAAAGTTTCCAACTAATCGTAGACGCACGAGGTTTAGCGACGATAAATTTTGAGCATAGCTGGGGCGATGGCGTTGCTTTACTTCGTTTGATGAAAGAGTCATTTTGTGACACTAAACACAATCATTTTGTTCATCCAAATCAATTTGTTGACCCATCGTTATATTTGAAAAATAACTTGCGGCACATTGGTTTGTATTTTGTATATTACATTATTTATTGGGTCTTATGAGCCCATATAAATTTTTTGTTTGAGATTTGTCTTTTTCTGGATGTTTATGTACTAAAAATTTTTGAAGTTATCATAATACAAAAAAAGTTCTTTTACCTAAAGTAAGTAAAATACTGAATGCAAATAGACACTTAAGATTTCTCTTCAGTTTTACTGATCTACTGTATTATATGTTTGTACTGAGTAACTTTTTGTTATTCTTCAAAAAACCATAATTTATTTTTATTTCAGAGTTTACTTTGACGGATTCACTTCGTGGAATAATTCAGGAAGCTCAAGAAAAACATTCTTTAGTGGGTTCGAAATTATCTTTCGGTACTGTAGAATTCTTTGGTATTAATCGTCAAATGATAAAATGCTCGAAACTCTCACCGGATTCTATTTTGCAGTTAGCTATTCAGTTAGCTTTCTACAGGCTGCATAAGAGATTTGTTCCAACTTACGAATCCTGTAGTACTGCAGCTTTTCTCGGGGTAGAATTGATTTGATTATTTTTGATATGGCACACTTTAATGATAATTTTCAAAGTATAATTTCTATAATTCTAAAGAAATTGATTTCATTGTGTTTGTGAATTTTATCCAGTACTTTGAGAATTAACTTACATTTTATCTGAATCATAGGGAAGGACAGAATGCATTCGTTCAGCAACAGTTGCCACGTCTAATGCCGTTTTAGCAATTGATCAAAGCAGAAGCAATGTTGGAGAACATTTGAAAAAGTGCACTGTAACGCATTCACTTTTAGTAAAAGAAGCTGCAACAGGTACTTCGCATACATAAAATATGATTGTGAAGTTTGTAAAATATACGTGGTGTCTGCATCGAAAATGTGTTATTGTTCAAGGACAGGGTTTCGACCGTCATTTAATGGGGTTGCGTATTACTGCTGATCGGCTTGGTTGGATTCAGCCGGAATTATTTAACAGCGAAATATTTAAATACATGAATCAATTTGTTATCTCGACATCAACTCTTTCAACAGATGCAGTGATGTTTGGTGGATTTGGACCGGTTACACCTGATGGTTATGGCATCGGTTATAATGTATTTGACAATAAGATTGGTGCGGTTATTACATCGTACCAGGTTAATATTCATTTATCAAGCTACTTGAAATTTCTTACGCTAGTTTTTATATTTTTTAATGTTAAGAGATGTGTTAGATTCAGTAGTTGTTTGAAAGTCTAATACAAAACTGTTTCTGATATATCATTTTGCCACATTGTGATTGGTTTAATATTGAAATGTTCCAGAATGTTTAGAGACAGCTACTTATCATAAAATAATTACATGAGTTAGAATCACTATCATTAGCATATGCTTTTACTAGATGAGACGTTAGTCTTTTATTCATTTCTTAGTTTCATCAGTAGAATATGTATTTGTTAGGACCGACATGATGCAAAGGTATTTGCTAATGCATATGTATTTGTAGGATCGACATGATGCAAAGGTATTTGCTAATGCTCTTTTGGAAAGTTTGGATATCTTGAAAAATATAATTCACAAGAAAATGCTGTAATAATTTAAGAATGTAGTTCTTCAATTCTCAGGCTGCAATAATTCAAGAATTTGTCTTGTATAAACATTTCATTGTATATTTGGCTAATAAATATTTACCAAAATATCTTATTGTAATTTTCTGTCTCGTATTGAGCTTCGTTCGATGTTTTTCAAATCGCTTGACTTCGCATTGATATAATAATAGGATAAAACTTTTATGTATAGGTTTCGTAATGCTATTTCTAAAGATTGTAATTTTAATGGATACATGTGTTCAAGTATTTGAGTGTATTCAACATATCTAAAATATGTAGTTTTCGGAAGGCGATGGATTCAAGAGCGTGTGAAAAACAGTTTTAGTAGAGGAATTGTTTTTTTATTGTAGAAAACTGCTATGTTAAAGTTGCGAATTTTTCCTTTGAGACAGTTGAGGAGGTTATCATCTGATTACAGAAATCGTGAAGTACTTACAGATTTTCACTATACACCTTTTGGTAAGTTTGTATCATCACTTTTATAGTCGTAAAAGTGCGTTTCTTTGTTGTCCAGTAGAGAATAATTCTGCAGAAATGTAATTTCGTTATAATTGTTTATTGCATGACAAAGTTTCTTACACTACAGTTATCGTAAAATTATGGACAAAAAATACTACAAACGGTTTGCTAGAGATTGCATGTAGTGTATTATTTGATGTAGGTTATGATTTGTTATAGATGATGACAATCAAGGACCTAGAACAAGTTTATCTCGTTTAAATGATGAGATGTTGCAATGCCAGCAAATTGGTATTGGTAGCATTAGTAAATATGGTTTTCGTCTCTATGATGGCCAATTCCTATATGGTCCGATAGCGATTTTTCCTAAAGCCGTATTATCATGGCGCGTTTTGACTCCTGATGATATCACTCCAGATTCTTTGCTTTTTTTTACAATGCTTGAACCAAAATTAGAAGTACTGGTCATTGGAGCGGGTGATCGTCAACATGTTGATCCGGTTCGGCGGCGAGTCATTCCTTTCTTATCCAAACACAAAATTGGACTCGAAATAATGCACTCGGTAGTTGTTGTGAAATATTTTAACTAAATCACTCTAGATTTTCTACTCTTCAGTTACTCAACCGTTAGTATTCTTGTAAGCTAGGAATATTTCTTCGAGTAGGAAACTTGAAAGTATTGATTAAGAATTATTTTATGACTCCATATCATAGTTTTTGCTTTAACATTGCATTCTTTCATACATGAGATAGTTTTTTGATGGAAATATCTCTATTTATTATTATTGAGCTGTTAAGTCTTCACACGTTATACTAATAAAATGTGTGCTAGAATTTTTGGGTGAAAAAGATATCAATTTATGAAGACCGTAAAGGATGCTTAATTAACAGTCGATGCATTAAGAACGCTCTATTCAAAATTGTTCATCACGTAAGTATTGATTAATCAGCTTTTTTGGCGTTTAGGAAGAAGCAGCAATGATGTTTAACTTATTAAATATTGAATATCGATGTGTAGCTGCTGCACTTTACCCACCGGATGAATTGTTAGTGACGACTAATGATCATTCCCGTCTTATGAAAATGTACGGAAATGTACTAGATGGTACATTTAAAAGTGAAGATGAGAGACTCGAATTAGCAAAAAAAGCACTGCGTAAATATCTTCCAAGAAAAGACGCTAAACGATTAGATGAATTAGAGAGTTCTAGATTTTTGCTGCCGAAGAATACTTTCAATGATGACAGTGGGTCGGCTAAGTAATCAACAAAAGTGCTTAACAGTCTTTAAAATTGCAAAGTATTGATTTCTCAACGTTGAAAGGTTCATTATTATAATGTTTTATATAAAGGCATAATGTGATTCAGTCATTAAGTGAAATAAAGTAATACTGATGATTACAAAGATTTCTAGCACTGTGAAATGATGATAAAGTTGAGTTAGTGATCATTCCAAAAGCTTTACTTGGTATTTCTAGTTTCTAGAGGGAAGACATCTGTGATGCAGTGGAAGATTGTTGCTATTCTGGATTCTATGTACTTTAAATGGTTAAATGTGGTTACTGTTTTCTGCTTTGGTTTTTTATTGACTGAGCCAACTTAAGTGTATGATATAGGCATTTAGCAACAGATGTGACGAAGAATTTTTTAGTTAATTTATACTTGCAACCTTTTTATTCTGTATTTTTGTATTCATGTTAGTTATTAATACATTGTTTTGCGGTAATTGCATTGCTGACATCACTTTTTTTTGAATTCGAATTTGGAGGTAAAGTTCTAAAAATTAGTAGAAGTAAAATGTGCTGTTGTTTTGTACATAATTGTAAAATAAAATTTGTAGAAAATGTAGTAGTCAGTTGAATACATTCGAAACGGTTTCGATCATTTTATTCTTTATTTTCCTGGGTCATCTATTCTTGTGACGAAGATTTTAGCGTTTTGAATACGTGAGAGAGTGTTTTTATCTTGGACTTCCGCCGTCATTAAAAAAACGTCTAGCCAGTTAATATGCGCTATGCAAGGGAAATAATGCCTGAATAGTCCATCTTTTATCGTGAACTTCATTACTTCTTACTCTAAGTCCAAACTCCCAGTTCCTATCTACATTTCATTAATCGAATCAATTTATGAAGTATTAAGATTAAACTTTTAGTTGGTTGTAAGTTGAAACTTTTGTGGAATCAGAGTTTTCTATTGAGGGCAGGAGATTTTATATTTTAATTATATTGTTTGAAAATAGAAAATTTTTGAGATTTTACAGAGTCTTTTTAAGAAGTTGCAATTCAGAAATTTCTACAAGTAATTTAGCGCAAAAATGGCACTATTGGAAGCTCGACATGCTACTCAGTTAAGGAAATACGATATTGCTGCTAGGTGGTATCTGACATTGTTTGCGCAATTGTCTTTAGAAGAGGGCAAAAAATATGTGGGAGAGTTTATTGATGTACTGGAAGAAATGGCTTCAAATGCTGATGATTACTCTGAGCAACTAATGTTGCTCCTTCAGAGTCGAATTATGTTCCCGAATGAACCTGTTGTTCTAAATGCTTGCGTGCGATTTTTCTTCTGTATCGGTAAATTTTTTTGACGAGAAGTATTTTTTACGAGAACTTCTGGATTCTAAATCTCATTACGTCATTGAACTGGACATAAAGAGATCCAAATTTTATGTGACATTTGGTAGTCGACTACGTCTATTATGTAAATATACGTATGAGTCAGTGATTGGAAAATGAGATGTAATCATAAAAGTTTTTTATTGAGTACAAGAAATTCTATTGTGATGTGCTAGTTATATTGTTTGAAAATATAAAGTTTTTGTAATTTCATGGATTTTATAGAACATTTTTAACAAATTATAATTCAGAAATTTCTGTAAGTAATTTGGCATGATGCTGAGCAATATATATCATACCAAAAGTATCATTATCTACTTACTATTTACATTTTAATCACTTTTTTAAAATTAGGTAGACACCTGGAAGCTTTTGATTGTGCGCACGAAGCTGTTAAGCAAGGAGAAGGCATTACTCATGTAACTGCACTTGCAAACTTAGAGAACATCAGAACTAGCATGTACGTTCCTACGTTTTTTTGCCATATTTTTGGTTCAGGATGCTGCTGTAAATAATGATAAATTGTTTCATCTGACCAATATCTGTAAAAACGTGAACATAAGGAACCAGTAACATTTATATTCGTTCTCGATATATTTAATTTATCTACAGTTATTTAAATCATTGTCAGTTTTTGGAAGGCGTAATCATTTGTATGAAATGAGTACTCTTTACTTACTTTGCGGCGCATTATATCGTTACTTTTGGGTTAGGGTTTGCATGCTTAGATTTGAAGACGCTACGCAGACTAGGAATTATAACTTCTAGTACTTTTCGCTATTATTTTCAAAACTCACATACTTATTCTAGCTGCTTCAAGCATTCATATTGTTCTTTCATTTGAAAGATCAAATTTTCAGCATGGATCCGTGGCACTGGACTATGTTGAATGATGCCCATCGTAATGCGACGTATGCAAAAGCTATACAGGTCGTTGCTAATGCAAGACCAAAGAGCTGTGTTCTTGAAATCGGTGCAGGCACTGGTATTTTAACAGCAATTGCAAGCAGGTTGTGCTAGACGTTATCTTTGTAAATTGCTTCAGATTCTCTTTCATGAATATGCTATCAAAATATTTCCCTGGAATCAGTTGATGATATATTCCTAAGCATATTCTGAATCATTGATTTTAATTATTTCTCAAGATTCGAATCCACTAGCTGAAGATTCAGTTAAAATTTCTAATCAGTACATAAAACATCGTACAAATGGAATTGAAGATAGTATATGTAGGATAGAATATTTTTATTTTTTTAGTCAAAAAATCAATTGCTATTATTAAAGGTACTTTAAGCGCAATGTTTACTGTTGTGAGATGAATCAAAATATGTGCGACATTGCTGAAAAAGTACTAAACCAGAAAGTGATTCGCAAGTGTTCTATGGAGGTCACCATTGAGGACGTTGGGTTTGAAAATGTAACTTTTATAAGAGTAAATTTATTAATATTTCAATAAATTCCATTATATCTTAGAAATATTTCCAGAAATCACTATATAACTTTTTTCTAAATGTATATAACAAGTGTTTTGAAAGTTCTTTACAGAATATATAGTTATAGGTAGATGTATTAATTACTGAAACAATGGACTGCGGTTTGTTGGGTGAAGGGATTGCCTGCTTCTTATATGACGCCTACACAAGAATCTTATCGCCATCTTCAGTCATTATTCCCAATTGCGTAATAATTTTTGCAAGGGACCATCCATAATGAAAATAATAGTTTTTGTGAGGGTTCAGTGAGTAATTTGTTTTCAGGCAACAGTATATGCATACGTTGTTGAAAGCCCAACGTTAATGGATGAACATTTAACAGTTTTCTGTGGGCGCTATTTTGTTTCTGAGAGTGTAACAGCATCTTATCGTATGTTGTTTTTCGAAAATTTTGCATTTTGCTAAGGAGGACTTTTGTGGTTACAGAAAAGATTTGTTAATGGAAATACTTTAGTTGATTGTCATTATTTTCAGTTCTATGAAGTACAAAAATTATCAATTTTAGATCCTTGTGGTGTAGTGGAAAATAATGAGCCATACTGCTGTACTTCAGCGACAGAAATTCGTGGAGGGTACATAATATTAAGTCAAACAGTAGAAATTTTTTCGATAAATTTTCATAGTTGCGAAGAGCTTAATGCAGTAGTTGAAAATGGTATTACGGAACTTCGATTTGCTCCTATAATTCAAGATGGTACTGCACACTGTATTATGGCTTGGTTCAGGTTCCTTAACTTTCTTATTGTCAAACATTGTGCTTTATTACTTTAATGAAGTTAATCATCAATTAGGTCGAGAGAACGAAAAAGGACTTGATAATCTGGAAATAGGTACGAGCATCTATTAAAGCTATTTAGTCTTTAAATAAAGTTCAAGAGGATGCATAATCATTATTTTTTTCTAAACCGAGAGATGTTTTTCACCGAGTATCTGATACTTTTAGAAAAAATTGGGCTCAAATATTGTGGTATGATTGTTGAGGAAGAATTTCAGTTGTGAATTGTTTCCTGGTTTACCTTGTATCGATACAGGTCCAGGAAAAGGTAGTTGTTGGCAACAAATAATATATCCGTTACCGAAACCTATAGCTTTACGTAAAGATAGCATATGCACCTTGAAGGTGAGAGCATTCAAGGATCAGCTATTATGCGCTCTTGAGAAGATAGTTTTACCAGACGATGCTGTTATTGATAATGAAAGATGTACGTACTCTGCTGACAATTCTGATTTATTACAATTCTTAAACATTGGAGAGGATTCAAAACAAAGCAGTGGCATACTGTTATCAGAACAATGTAACTGTAACAGTGAAATATCTGGCAAAAAAGTTATAAATTATAAAGAGTATGCAGCATTGGATGATATTGTCATTCTCCCGAAAAATGATTTTTTGCTGACGAATGATAGTTATTTGCTGCACTTTTTGGAAAATAGTTTAATTGAAGTATTTACTGATCAAGAGCTTGTGATTAACGACAGTAATAAAATTTATGTTGTGGATATCACTGATCTCAGTATACTCTCAATGACGCTTGCGAGAAAATTCACCGAAGTGCAATTTAATAGTTACAGTCACTATGCCTGTAAATTAGTGAATTTATTTCCTTCTCATAATCAAAACTTTTGCGCATTTCCGGATAGTCAAGGTTATCTTTATTCTGTCTATAATTTTCTTTCCTTGATTTTCTCATGAAAATGACTGTGAAATTAAATTGAGTCGTTTTTAGTGTTATTAAGTTTCCTCTGAGTGTTTATTTTATAATTTTGTATACAATGATAGTATATTTCAAGCAGAATATTTATGTCGATCTAAATATTTCGAAAGCATAAGTTTGTTGATATTTATGTTCATCAATTAGTATTTAGCTGGATGAAATAAGTCAATCTTTATTTGTATATTAGTGTCAATAATGTTTGAAAGCGAGAGCAACACTAACGGAATTACAAAGTTAGATGTAGAACTTTTTCGATTTTATTTTAATTTTGCTGTATGATGAGTAAATTTTCTTCAGATTATTGTATGTCAGATGAAAACTTACCAAATGCGAAGCATCCAGTGTTATCGAAAAGTCCACCTATTACATATTTTGAGGCAATTTTTTTTGCAATATTTTATTTTTCATGTTCATTACGACTTTTTTACTTTAGCGATGATGTTTTTTTCAGGACAATGATTATGCGGATATTTTAATGTTTTGGCCCATAAGTTCTCATGGTTTTATGATGGAAACTACTTTAGATCACGTTATTAGCTTTCGACTTTCAAATAGTCGAGCTAGAGTTATTCCATCAAAAGTTACTGTTGTAGGTCAGGTTATCAGCTGCCCTGGTGTGGTTCAACAATGCAAACCATGCCCTTCAGCTTATCAGGGAGTTGACCTCTCTGTAATCTATGACCTTGCCCTTTCGTTTCACTATGATATTGAGGTAACCACATCTTATGTCTTTCATTATCTCATTTTAGTGTAACTTAACGCTAATGCATACAAACAGATAATTCACTAATTGCAATCTTTGAATTCAATTTTATTTCGTTTCAGCCTTCCTCTCTCAAATACACTGCGTTTTCCGATCCTTTTAAGCTGCTCTCTTTACTATTTAACGAGGTTTGGAATTTCTTATTGACATAAGTCAATCTTTCCAGGTTGCCAACAATATATAGTTTTTGTTGCATCGTATTTTGTTTAAAAATTGCATCCTATAATTAACCAAGTTGAATCTTTGGCGATCACTACAATTTAATCAACATTCATTTTGACTGGTAACCCTGAGGTGATAATTGTGCTTTTGCAGCAGATGCCAACAAATGAATCGAATTTGCCAGATTTCATGTGCCTTCTTGGAGTGGCTTCAGAAGCAGTTATTACTGCAGATGGCATCGCAGATGGCTTGTTATACTGGTTTGATATTGAGAGTGGGAATCAGTTGTACAGCACAAAATCTCGACAAAGCCTCAGTCGTTGTGCCATGTACTTATTTGATGAAAGTCGTAAAGTTACAAAAGATGAGCGTTTATCTGTTAAATCTTCTCATCTTCGTGGTAATCTGATTTTTGAGGTATCATGACTTAGTGAAATTGTTAACATTTCAATCTATTGTGAAATGAAAACCAAGGAATTCATTTTTTCTCTACAATTTGTCCACATGGAACTAAAATTTTGAAAAATGGAAATTAAGATTCGTTATTCTGCAGCAGTGCCAAAGGTGCTTATTCATTTTGTAAAAAGCATGTTTGGAAACATCTTACGTGTTCTGTGAAATATGTGTCTTGTCTTATTCTGTGGAAAATTGACTTCGAGAATGCTTTTGTCAGTGATGATGTGGTCATGTTTTTATTCCATGTCAGATAAATCATGATAGTTTTAGTTAAACAAGTATATGCAAAGAGAAGCAAGCCTGTACTTGACGAGTCTGCTAGAAGGTCGAAAGTCTTTAATAATAACAATAAGTGATTTCACATAGATACTGGTTGATAGAGTAGTAAAGATAACACAGGTCGCATGCCCGGATTCTCCGATTGGTGTGAACAAATTTAGTATGAATGATAGGGTCGCAGGAATCTTGAAATTTATGTAAAAAAATATAGTGATTTTAGTAAGAACACTACTTGATGGAAAACGACAACGTTTGAAGAATAGAGAGGGGCGACTATCCAACAAATTAAAGCTATTTCATGATGCATTACTCAACTATAAGTAGCCATGAATCAAAATCTAATAAAGTTTATTTGTGATAAACAAGTTGCTCCATTTTCGTAAGTAAAATTTTGAAAGCAAGAACTGTATAAAGAGAATCCTTAACTGATTTCTATGCAAGTAGTGCAGAAGATTATGTATTAACTTTGTAGTATATTAAAATAATGCAATATATATTATTCTAAAAACTTGATGACCCCAAATATTTCTTAGTCACATTATTCAATTTGCGCATTTTATCAATAGATTAATTAGTTGAGTGATCGACTCACAGGTATGCGAGTAATTGTGAAGTGAGTGCACACGCAGATACGAGATGAGATGTTTGAAGACAGTTCCAAATTCTGATGATTAGAGTTAGTCAAAATAGCGATCTGACGGAATACTCTAGGAAAGGAGGCAAAGCGATCAAACGCATCGCTGAAAAATTTTTGCTACCCAAATAAAAGGTAGTAAAGAGATGATAACTTATCAGAACTTATGTGCAAGAATATTTTCCGATTATTCTCGCATTTCGATAGTATTTAGCCATAATTATGAATGAAATATGATTGAATTTTATTATAATTTGTGTAATGTAATTCTATGCATTTATGAATCTGTATAAACTTTGCATTTATCTCATGCATATTGTTGGTATATACATATATGTATATAATTATTAGATTACAAAAATTTTAATTCCTGAATCAATACAGCATTGTAATCTGAAATACGTATGATTCTGCGTACATTTATTAAATTTAGGATTTGACATGAGACTACACTTATTTAATGCTAGAAGAGCAACTGATAGAAAGCAGTACAACGTTGCTGCTGATTGCTACATAGAACTTTTTTCTGAATTGTCTTGGGAGGAAAGTAAACAATATGTGCATGAGTTTGTTAGAGTTCTGGATGAGATGAAGCCAAATGAAACTGGCTTTGGAGATCATGTGTTATTACTCTTTCGAAGTCTGTTGCCCCTTCCAGAGGAACCTGTCATTCTGAAGTCTCTGTCCAAGTATTTAGCTTTTTTTGGTTAGTAAATGTTGAATTTCCACTTTTGTTTCAAAACTAAAATATGCAATTAAATATTTGTAAAATGGAAAATGCTTATTGCTTCATTATTAATAATAACTTTAAAAGTTAAATATATTAATATAACTTTAACATATTTGATAAGTTAAATAAATGTTATACATAGGCATTTACTAGTTTATTTAGGTCAGGTTTTGACAAGTTTAGAATTCTCTATTGAAGCTGTTGAAAAAAGCGAAGGCGTAACACATATAGATTGTATGGTAAACTTGGAAATTATCAGATCGAATATGTAAGTAGTCGAGTGTCTAACAATATATAATATGTACTTGGTGATAAAAAATGATAGCAAGCAAAAGCAAGCATCAAGAAAACATAATACAAAAAGTGTATACAAAGATAACGTTTCTGGGTTCAAGTCGACAGTGTTTTCATGCACAAGAAGTAAATAGGATGATTTTAGTAAATACACGTGTATTCGTAATTTTAGTATTTCAGTACATTAAGCTTTCTGAGAGTGATCACTTTACAGTCATGTGCAACTAAAACCGCTGATTTTTTTCTTTGCTAACTTAAATTTTCAATAATTTTTGCATTAATTGATTGACTGTATTAGTTACATATTGTAGTGTAAAATCTTATGATTGGGTTGTATTCAACAGTTCTCGTCGTGTCTCTTCCTATGAGGCAGCATTGGAAAATATTGCTAGATGGAGACCAGACAGTAAACTTCTTATAGCCGGTTGTGGACTGGGTATTATTCCATCAATTGCTTCCAGGTATATAATCTATTTCATAGGTAAATTTATCTGATTTAAGTGGCAATAACATTATTAATATGATTATTTATTATTATTATTATCAATATTATCATTATCAATATTATTATTATCAATATTATTAATAGTTGTGAGCAACTGCAAAAATTAAAGTGACTCTAACAGATTGCTTTGTTTATAATTTATGTAAGAAATAATATAAAATTGTACAAATAGCTTAAGTTACTAATAAATGGTATTTAAGGTACTTTCATCAACGTAAGTTTTCTTACGATTTCTACCAGTGGATTGGTCTAACTGAGAGAATTGAGAATCAACCAGCCTTTAGCAGTTTTACTTGGTTAGCAATGGCTTTGGATATCGTTCAACCACTAGTAATTAGCTTTCATTCTTTATTATAAATCACTTAGTCAAAGTTGATAATTTTATACATTTCGATATAATAAATTTTTTATTATACTTTCGTTTTATTTTAATTGAATACAATTAAACAACTAAATTGATAAAATAGAAAGTCTAAAATCTCATTTTAACTTTTATATCAAACTGAAATTTGATTTTAAATTCATTGTATTTTAGATTAATTGTTATATCAATTTCAGTACTTTTGGCAAATGGTATTTTTTTTGCAGTTAGACGTTGTAATTATCGATGTAATGGCGTATGGTACTTTAGGTGAAAAAGTGGCAGTACTGATGAATCCTATAGAAAAACGACTTCTGATGCCTTATCGAATTTCTGTTCCAAAAACTGTGAGAATTTGGTATTTTTTTTTGAAATACTTTTAATTAATTTAAAGTTTATTTTGTACTATCAAATTTAGATGACAGCTTATGCGTGTTTCATTGAGTGCCCCGCAATAATGCAAGAGCATAATGCAACTTTTGATGGACATAATTTCGCTTCGGAGTGCTCGTTAGTATGTTATGGTATGAACTTCATTTTAGGACTATTTATTACAAAATTTAATTAAAAATATTTTAGGCCATTTATTAAAAACATATTTCGAGGGTTATTTACTGATTAAATTAATGCCTTATGTTCTAAATTTAATAAATACATTTATTTTACTTGAGTTCTATCATATTTTCATTTTAGGAAAATGTAAGCTGGGTCCACTAAAATCAACTTATCATCGTGCCATAGCTTCTGAAATCCGTGGAGGATATAGAGTTTTAAGCAGATCAGTAGAGATTTTTTCTATAAATTTGTGCAGTCTTGTTGAAATGACTAAAATTATGCTTGATGGCATTCTGGAGCATCGACAGGCACTTATATTTCGGAATGGCACTGCTCATGGCATTATGGCTTGGATCAGGTTTTTCATTTTGATCAAAAATGTTTATTAGATAAAAAAGGAATAAAAATTAAGCATCTAAAAAGTTAGATTGTATTTGCTTGAAAAACACAAATAAAAATTAAATTTTTCTTGCAGTGTATTCTCTAATTTATATAATATCAGTAAATTATATAATTTTTTAGAATATAAAATAAAGAGGAGAAAGTTTTCGCATTGATTTTTAGCTGTGATATGTTTCCTGGTATACCTTGTATTAGCTCAAGTCCAAGGTCAAATATCTCTCAACATCAAGCAATATTTCCGCTACCAATTCCTCAAAGATTGTTTAGAGGTAACCGGTGTACACTAGAAGTGAAGGTACATGAAGAATTTGTATTTTGCAGATATAAAGATGAAGTATTACCATATAGTGAATCAGAAAGTGAAATGAGCCCTAAAAGATATTCAACTATGACAAATGGGGATTCTGATAGTCGAAACTCTTCCTCTGGTTCTGCATTATCATTTAACTTGGATAATGATGATTACATTAATCAGGTACCAGAGCAATCAGATTCTGAATGTTACAGTGGAATGGATGTTGAAGAAAATTTTAAATATGATGATCTAGATGTTGCATGTTTACCTACAGTAGATAATATAATTCTTAGCTATGAGGACACGGCAAAGTTAAGTGATATTATATGTCTTACAACAAACGACTTTTTGTTAATGAATGACGAATCACTGGTGCATTTCTTCCGATCAAATTTGAATGAATTGCAAAAACAAGAAGAATTTACAACTAAGCAAATTTGTGCTTTGGATATTACTAATATATGCAAACTTTCGCTGACATTGATACAATCATTTCCTGAAATAGCCTTTTTGTGCTATAATCATGAAGCTGGGAAATTAGCTACTATATTAACGCCAAACAGATTCGTCAAATTTCCAGTACCCCCAGGTTAATGCTATTGTTATTATTATTATCATTATTATTATTTTTATTATTATTGCTGTTATTGTTTTTCTTTTTTTATACCTTTATTATTGTATACTTTTGAATTAATACAAATGCTTTATTTGAACAAATTCTTGACATTCACTTTTGTTACTGATAAGCATTACAAGAAAAAAGCATCTTTTTAATTTATTCAAATTATTGATAATAGCATTTTTTTGTTATTGTGTACTGTATCGTTTTTATTTGCTTGATTGATTATATTTAAAAAATAAGTCACAAAGCTATGATCACGTAGAAGAATTTCTTTACTTTATGTACATATATTTGAGGTATACTGTATGTACATATATTTCAGATTACTGTATGTACATATATTTCAGATCATAAAGCATCCCTTGAAAATATACCTGCTGTTTGCTTCTTAAGAGCACCAAGGAAACCATTTTTTACTTTATTTGAGGTTATTGTTTTTAAATAAATTAATGGATATATTATTTGCATGTAATCAATAATTATTATAGAAAATTTTTAAATTTTTGTAAAGGTTTATTTACTTTACAGAATAGTGAATCAATGGATGTATTATTGTTCTGGCCTATTAGTTCACATGGTTCTTTAATAGAAGCTGCGTTACATCGTCTTTACAGTTTTCGGCTTTCGAATAGTCAAGCTCGAATAATTCCATCAAAAATTAGTGTTGTAGGACAAGTCATAGAATGTCCTGATATTCTCAGTCGAAGTAGAGCTGATCCAAAAATTTATGAAGCAATGTATTCAACAATAATCAGTAATCTTGTCGTTTCCTCGCACTATGATATTGAAGTAATCATATTTGGTGTCTTGTTTATCATAATCAGATCAATTCGAATACATTTAAACAAATGAATAAACACACTTACTGAATTTAATTTAATTTAATTGCAGCTTTCAAGACTCAACTACACTGCGCTTTCTGATCCTTCTGAATTGCTTTGTTTAGAGTTTGATAAGGTATGCTGTTTATTATTATCAAATTTAATTCAATCTAGCATAAAATCTTATTCACTTATTTAAAATTAATTTATCATATTTTAACTACATTGTTGACTAATAAATATTAATTTTAGTGCTAATAACTGTATTTTTTCAGGAGATGCCAAAAAATGAATTGGATTTACCGGAATTCATTTGTCTTATTGAAATGGTTTCAGAAATGGTTATTACTCGCAGTGGCTACGTAGATGGCTTGCTGTATTGGTTTAATGTTGGAGATGGTAATCGGTTTTATAGCACTAAATTTCGAGACAACCTTTGTCGCTGTGCTATATACATATTTCATGAAAAAGTTAATACTCGTAAAGTAAGAAGGGGTGAACATTTGTACATTAAATCTTCCAATTTTCATGGTAGCTTAGTTTTTGAAACATTTTGAGAAAACAAAAAAGAAGCAGTTGACTGATTTTCATCAAACATTTCAAATTGTCATCAAAAATTTTTAGAACCACAAAAAGTTCAATCTTTCTTCACTATCATTCATTAATTCATTCGTTCATTCAATCATTCAATCATTCAATCATTCAATCACCTGTTCATTCAATCATTCAACCACGTTAGATTAAAATTTTTCAAAATTGTAAATATTGTCATATTTTCATTAACAATTACATTTAAGCAAAGTTTTCAGCTCACATTTAACATATTGCTTATATTTTGTAAATGATTTCTATGCGATATTTTTTATCAAATATATTCATTCATCAGTTAACTTTGTCATGCATTTATTTCAGTTTTATTCTACACAATAAAAGAGTTGTCAAATACATAAAAATAATTACCAAACTAATATAAAAACAATATACAAATACACAAAATGCGCGTTATTAAATGTTTTCTTTGAATGTAATTTTAGTAGCTTTTACCACTGAGCACTTCTAGTAATGATATTCTGCAAACTTGTAAAACGACAGAATCGAACAGTAGTTGACGTGGGTGATTCAACTTTATGGACTACAGATCTTGATCTGTTTGAATTTAAACTTCATCCTAATGTATATAGTCAGTGAAGTTGCTTTAAATTAACAGTTATATTTTTATTCCGTGAATTCTGAACTTGATTTTAGAAATTAAAGGAGCAGATGCAAATGTCTCAATTAAACATTATAAAAGTAATAAGAAAAGGCTGAATTGGGAAAAGGTCATTTCTGATGGCTGGATTCTGAGTTAAGTAGTGGATCTAATAGGCTGATATTGATTATAAATGCAATTATCACTTTCGGAATCAGGAATATGAAGTAAATCTTCGGGAGTATAATGAAAATCTTTCTCAAGTGAGGATAATGAGTGGTCACATTAAGCTTAGAAATCCACGCGGAATTAACCACATACGTCTTTGTCTCTGTGATTACTTGTATTCGATTGCAAGAATAATGAAGAATAAGTATAGATAAGACGAAGTGATAATTACAGTAATCAGTGAAGTACTAATAATTTGTGAATAGTTCAAAGGCAGTAGTTTTCATTTATCTTGTAGTAATACTAATTAGCAAGAAAGCAAATATAATTAGGAACGGATAAGCGCAAATGTTGGCTTATAAAAAGTAAAATATCACAAAAAGTCCTGACTGATAAACTTGCGCGTGTGACACTAAAACTTATGCATTAACTTTAAGCACTAAACAATCAAAATGATAATGACGAAAAGTGAGAAATACACTTATTACAATTTTCATTCTATTTTTTACAAATGTAAGTATAACTTTTAATTTTTTGCAATAAAAGTCTTTGTTATTAAGTTGTTTTTGTCACAATTTTCTATCATAAAAGCAAATTCCAATCAAATTTCAGCAAAATTTTTGAAATTTTACTTAAATATTACACATTTTCGATGTCAAATATCAAATGTCAAATGTCAGATTACAAGTGTATTAACGGCAGTAAAAACAATATGCACTCATTTGTTTGTCGTAATTGCTTTCAACTTTGGTCACAGTTTCCAATATATTTTCCTCAGAATTATTTGCATTCATAATTACAGAAAATACTCTAATAAAAAGTGTAAGACATTAAACTTATGTTGAACACTAATTAAAATCATATTTATTAATTATTACACTAATAAAGTTAATAGAGAAAAGAAACCTTCGAAACCTTCTTTTATCCATGCTTAATTTGTACTTTTATTAGCTGATAAACTGTATTATCTATCTATCTATTTTAAATAGAAGCTTATTTTAATAGTTTGTAATTTGCACTTTTTGTTAAATATATTCCATTAACGAATTCTAATTGTTTCCACAGTATGTACAAAAGTATAGATAAAATCATTATATAAACAATACTGACCAATATAATGATTATTGAAGATAAATTACTGCGCATTTTATCAATAGATTAATTAGTTGAGTGATCGACTCACAGGTATGCGAGTAATTGTGAAGTGAGTGCACACGCAGATACGAGATGAGATGTTTGAAGACAGTTCCAAATTCTGATGATTAGAGTTAGTCAAAATAGCGATCTGACGGAATACTCTAGGAAAGGAGGCAAAGCGATCAAACGCATCGCTGAAAAATTTTTGCTACCCAAATAAAAGGTAGTAAAGAGATGATAACTTATCAGAACTTATGTGCAAGAATATTTTCCGATTATTCTCGCATTTCGATAATATTAGTTAATTGCTTTATTTGTAAATGTTACTAGACTTAATATATGCAACTTATAAAGATAAAATATAATAATTTGCATTGATTAGATCATTAGAAGTCTTTTGCAATTTAATTCTTAATTAGAAAAAGTTATTCAATTTATATTTTAGTATGAGACTGGAATTGTTCGAAGCTCAACAAGCAACTGCGTCAGGAAGGTATGAAGAAGCTGCTGAATGGTACTTGAATTATTTTCCCACGATAGATCGAGAAGATGCTTCACAACTTTTCGAAAAATTTATCAAAGTTGTAGAAGAGATGACCGTAGTAAATAATGACTGCGCAAAGCAATTATCATTATTATTAAGATGTCGCAATATTTATCCGGATGAATCTATCATTTTAAATGAGTGTGCTAGATTCTTCTTCATTGACGGTCAGTTTTTGTAACTTCTTTTAATATAAAATAATGTTTTCTACCATTACATTCAGAAAAAAGCTACGCTATTCGCTTACTGCTTAATTGCGATTCGTTAAATTTTTTAACTGCTCAATAAATTGCGAACATTATTTGCATACAAGATTCAATACATTACTATTTATCTAAATTTTGATAATTGCGTTAATTGATTTTAATAAAAAATTTTATATATAAAATGATTGAGACAATTATATCATTCTGTGCTACTAAATGTAAATTTAAAAAATTTTGCATATAAGCAATTTCATGCAAAAATTATTAATCACTATTACTACTTCAAATAGTATTCGAAATTCACATACTTCCTTTCGAATCGCATATTCAGTTTAGATAAAAAGTATCACGCATTTGAGTGTGCATATGATGCTATTGAAGATGCCTTCGACGTATCACTTGCTAGTGCGCTTACAAACCTAAAAAATAGTAAATACAGTCTGTAAGTTGATATATTTTTAGCAAGTACTTTAATAAAAATATTTTGCTGCAAGTAAAAAATTATTAAATAAAATGAAATAACAAATAATAATAATAATAATAATAATAATAATAATAGCGAATAATAATAACAATAATGATAATAATAATAATCTGTAGAGTGAAACCCAGCGATTGGGCTGTGATAAATGATGAAGAAAGAGTGAGTAATTATGAGCTTGCTATGGATAATGTTGCTGCATGGAGACCAGAATGTTATGCATTGCTAATTGGAAGTGGATTAGGAGTTTTTGCATCATTTGCACAAAAGTTAGATATATTTGATTTTACTGATAGATCTGAGTTATTAACTTAGTAAATTTTATTGCTATTTGTCAACATTGTGTTTATTAGCTAAATGGGGCTTCTTTTATCAATAATATTAAATATATCAAATGTGATGATAATAAACTGAAAAAGGAGGGAAAATAGAATATTGAAGACAGTGCGAGAAAAAATTTTTGAATTAAATGATTGAAGGTCCTTCAAGGGTAATGTATTTTGTATTGAAATGAATAGACACTGGGGATATTTTATTCGTGAAAAATTGAAACAACAAGTGATTCTTAAAGATTTGAAAGAAGTAACGGCTGCTGATTTTGAATTTAAAAAGGTTACTTCCTGCTTTTTTTTTACTACATTAAATCATAAAAAGGAATAATTATTTTGTATTAGCAAAGTTTTAACAAAAATGCAATACTATTCAGTAACTGTATTAAGTTCTGTTTTTTGCAGTTAGATGTCGTAATCATCGATGTAATGGCAAATGGTACCTTAGGTGAAAAAGCTCTAACATTTTTGCAAAATTTAAGTGATGAATTCTTGTCGCCTTTCAGAACATTTATTCCTAAAAAGGTAAAAATTTCAAGTACTTTTGTAAGGTTCAAAATGTAAAGCAAGTTAATTAGCATAAATGTTTCAAGTTCAGGTAGTAGCTTATGCTTGCATTGTTGAGTGTCCAGAGATATCGAAAGAAAATATAGCAACTGCTTACGAATATCAATTTTGCTCACGCCGTATATGGAAATGTTATGGTTTGTCTTTTATTATTATTCATTTAAAAAAAATGTAATTTATTTTGAATTTTTAAATTTTGCAAGTCTATTTATTATGAGTTAATATTATTAAAAAACAATTAAAAGAAATAACTTGTTAATTCATATTTCTTGCGATCATTGTGTTAATTTCAGGTGCTGATGAAGAGCTTTCAAATAATACACAATCTTTTTATCAAACTTCTTTAGTTTCTGCATTGCGTGGAGGATACAAAGTTCTGAGCAGAATTATAGAAATTTTTACTGTAAATTTGTGTAGTCTTATAGAGATAAATAAAATAGTAGTGGAAGGTATTATGGAGCTTCGAATGGCTCCTATTATTGAATATGGTACTGCGCATGCTATTGTAGCTTGGATCAGGTTTTTAAATTTTATTCCTATTATTATTACAATATTTTTTGAAGCTGTTTATTTGAAATTAAATAATTGAAGAAGAAAAAAGCATAAGTAATTAGTAAGTGATGGAAAAAGTTGAGCTTTATCTATATATGCTGTAGTATAACTTACATTCATAATCATTTTTAAATCATGATTAATACTATTTAATTTCATGTTAAACAAAAATTTTGTATTTTTTCAGTTGTGATTTATTTCCTGACATACATTATATAGATTCAAGTATACAAGATACAGGTAATAAACGACAAGCAGTATTTGCGCTACCAAGACCAATAAGTTTAAGAGAAGGTAGCATGTGTACACTACAAGTGAAACTACACACCAATAGTGTATCATGCGTTCTCAAAGATGTAGTATTACCCTATGATACTTCAAGAAGCATTGAAGAACAAAGCACTGTCATAATAAATTATTTAGCTTATGCAGGATTCCAAAACTTAGTTCCATGTCAAACAAATGATTTTTTATTCATGAATGACGATGCTTTGGTACGTTTCTTCGAGCTTAGCTTAACTAGATTACGTCAAAAAATAGAGTTTGTTGAAATAGAAGAGCCAGCTCATGTCCTGGATATTACTAACCTTTGTACTCTTTCGCTTAAACTGATCAGAACATATCCTGCAGTAACGTTTATATGCTATAACCACGATTCAACACTTTTTCCTGATTCACTGACCACAGATAAAATCATGGACCTTTTTGAAAACAGTACTAGCTTCTATTTTTTTTCTTTCGCTCTCATTTTATTGCTTATTTACTACTACATTTCAAGTATAATGTCCACATTTGTCGAGTAACAATTACTATTAATTTACATTACGCGAAATTAATTAGACCAAATTCGTAAATTACTGCATGTGCTGATGTGGCAATTCTTGTGAGAGATATTCAAAAAGACTTTAATAAAGTCTTTATTATTATTATATTTTTAAATGCTAAGTCAATAAATGCATTAATTTCAGTAGTTGACAAGGAACAGGAGTACATGCCTGATGCTTTCTGTCCGTCTGTAGCAAAAGAACCACCTCGTTTTTATATTGAGGTTTTCTGCTTAAATATTAGACTAACTTGTCAAGTGTTATTAGCAGATAATGAGCTGTAATCTAAGCATTATTGTTTTGTATTGCAGCATGGTAAAACCGTTGATATATTGATATTTTGGCCTATTAGTTCTCAAGGCTTTATAATGGAAGCTGTACTGAATCGGGTCTTTAACTTCCGCCTTGTTAATTGTCAAGCTGGCCTTATTCCAGCAAGCATTAATGTCATGGGTCAGGTTATAAGCTGCCCTGATATTATTCAACAAAGCAGACCTGATCCAGAAGTTTACGAAAATATAGAAATTGATAAATCTAAGGTGGAAGATCTTGCACTCTCAACTTATTATAACATTGAGGTAGTTGTTAGATTTTATCAGTTATTATCTGACATTTAAATAATAAAACAGTTTCTATAATTGTGAATAAACAAATTCATCAGATTTAATTTTGTTTTATTTTAGGTTTCTACTCTGAGACATGAAGTATTTTCTGCTCCGTTTCAGTTGTTGCAATTGGATTTTGAAGAGGTTCTAAGCTATTTTGGATTCTAAGCTATAAGAATTCTGTATTGCAAATTAAATTATTCTAAATCAGTATTTGTTATTGATCAAGTTTGTTACTGATAATTCCGTATTTTTTTGCAGCTAGTGGTACAAGATTCAACGCCACGCTTTATGTGTTCTACAAATAATATTTCGCGAGTTCGTATTGAACGTGATGGAACTGCTGATGGATTATTGTACTGGTTTGATGTTGTTGGTATTGATCATTTTTATAGCACAAAATCTGAAAGCAATGCTCGTTGTGCCATATCTTTATTTGATAGAAGTCGTAGTGTGAAGAATGGTGATCGTTTATATGTTAAATCTGCTAATTTTCATGGTCATCTGATTTTTGAATTCTGGTGATTTACTAAGTCAAACATCTGATTAGTCTCAATAACCATTGTAAGTTATTATCAGTAAGAAAAACTTACGGAACTAAAAAGTGCAATTTTTACTCAGAATTTGTTCATATTAGATTGAAATTGTGTAAATTTGTACATTTATCTTTAACCAAAGACTAGTTCATATTTTAACATCTGCGTACTTTATCACAGATCAACGTGTATTCCTTTTTATTTCTGTTCTGTCATTTCAACAACATTTTAGACAATAAACGTTTTTACGTGTAAGCAAAACAAAAAAAAAAAAGCTGAATATAAAATAAACAGAATAGCACGCAACTTTTTACTTACTGTAAATATTAGCATTTGGAGCAAAGCACTAATCTCAAAAAAACATTTAGTTAAAAGACACTGTAAATTGCATTAAAATTATACAATAGCTAATAGTTTGAGAGACAAAAAACAATCAGTAAACTTTCGAGTTATGCTATCTTTCATTACAAATATGCTCGAAGAAGCATTTAAATTTTTTCTACTTTTCTCAAATGCACAAATTACATCTGAAATCTGACTTGAAACTATTCCTTTCAAACAATTAACATGTCAATATTTCATATTTTGTATTTTATAAAATTGATTATTGAATGCCACAAAATATGATTACTGATTAGATTAAATTTCTTGAATTAGTTTATGATTTAAAATACTGTCACTCTCAATGCATTACTGTTTTGAAACGAGATTTGGATCATTTTTTTTCAGATGCATAAATCTATATCATTCAGTAATCAACGTAATGCTTACTGAAAAAAAGAATGAATCATTGAAATTAAATACCTTCAGACTACAAGTTTTTGAGTATTTGAGTATGCTTGTAAACCAAATAATAAATTTTGCATGATAATTTTTTCTCAAGATGAATACAGCTAAATCTGTTAATAACCAATTACAGTTAACAAATTGACATAAAATATGATAAAAAGAAGTTATTTTAGTACTTAATGTAATAAAATAGTAATGTATTGCAGAAATTTAAATTGTAAAAAGTGAATAACGTCATCATAAAAAAAAATTTTTTCTTTGATTCTAATTCTAAATTAAAATTATCAAATTTATTAATTAAACTTTAAATCTTTTTCATATTACTAATAATTGAATGACATATTCTGATATCTCTACTGCTAAACTTTTTGCTATATATGATATTTGTTCAAATAATAAATTTTTTATAGTGTTAATTAAGATTATTTCAAAATTTCCTATCGATAAATACTACTTAAATCCATTGCAATAGTACTGAAAAATGAATAAAAGTCATTTTGTCCCGGAATGAAAATTATTGCGAAGCAACACATGATTTAGTAAAAATTAATAGGTCTTACAGCGAAAATTACCGTAGTTTGATCGCTTACATTGGGAATTTGAGGCAAGAATATTTACAAATTTCCAGAATTCATTAATCAGTTTTTATGCAGTCCTTTACTACTTTTTGCTCTTCTGATGGCACTGAGTTCGATATTTTAAAAAAAAGTGTAAACGTGAGTGGATAGAGTAGTTATTTCTCATTAATTTTCATTAAATTATCACGTCGTTTTGTTTTGTATTCAGTACAAATTAGAATGGAAAAATAAATTTATAAGCTCCGTAAGTATAATTAAAGAGTAATAATTCAACTAAGTAATTGACATATCGATATAATGCCAACGTACGTGTTTATTAGTTATGAAGTTGAAAGTAGAGAGATAAAGTTGTAAACTTTGAAGTTGTTTTAGTTTATATAAATATTAGTCATTTCTTTTCCTGTGCTTCGCACTCTCATTTTAGTTTAGTATTTTTCAGAAATATTAAATGATTTATTTTCAGAATGATTCAACCAGATGGTAGAAACAAAGGTGTTGCACATGAAGATTCAAACTGTTTGCAGAGTCTAATTTGGAATGCACGATTAGATGTTGCTGAAGAATGTCGTAAACAGCATGCAGATATTGAACGAGCCAATCAAGCATTGTATCTTTTGGATAAGTTGGAAATCGGTAAACAAAAGGAGGTTCGATTGTATTTCCACGTTTATTATTGCAATCCTATGTATTAAGTATACATGGAGACAATTTACTTCATAAATATAAATATTTAGTGTGTTTCAGTAAAAATGTAATATTCATGAAACTTCAAGTAAATTAAATAAATAAATAAATAAATCATTCGAGCATGGTGCAAAATACTTAATTTTGTTCTTTTCTTATCCTTCCAACAAAAAGCATGAACTTAGCAGTCGTTAGTTGATAATTATTTGAGTACTTGACACTCTTACAAATGTTCTCGGTATTAAGCAATGTTTTGGTGTTGTGAAATAAATTTTTCAGTGTGTTTCTCCGGATAGAGTATGTGGGTTTGACCTTTTGGACGAAATATATGATGAATTGTATCAGTATACCGCTTTGGTAGAAAATTTTATCGTTTCAGTTAAGCATGACACGACATCTTCAGCTCCATCAGGTGAGTTGTAAGAATTGGGTGATTTGCTAATAATTTTATTCATAGAATGCAAGCGTAATACTGTTGAAAGTTGAAAAATATTAATGATACTGAAATTTTCTAAGATAAATGGTGTTTAATGTCAGTAACTCTCTCAGATATATATCTCTACTTGCATATATGGACACGGTTGTCACAAAAAAAGCATTGGTTTTCCTGGAGCTAATCTTTCGAACAAATTCCGCACGAATTACCTTTCTGTCATTAAATTCATTACTACGTTCAATTTAACCTATTTCCCATTTAATTTTAAGAAGTTTTATGTATTATCATGTATGCAAATTTTTATCTAATGATGAAAGATATTACAAGCAAAAAAAGATTGTAGATCAGCCTACTGGTTCCAAAAATCTGGCCTTCACTTCTACAAATACAGTCCATATCCCAGCAAAATTATCTAATTACGTGTCAGGATGTTGTTCTAATCATGTTTGTGAAACTTTAAAAAAAACTGCTCAAGCTCTTCAAAATATTCATAATGATCAACTGCGCTGTGCTAGTGAGCCGGGATCAATGATGCATCTCGCTCAACCTTTGACAAATGCACTTCAGAAACCACCTTTCTTATCTTCACAGGTAAATTTCCAAGTTATTTATTGAAATTATAGTTAAATAGTTTCGAAATAGATTTAAACAAAAGTTATCTTAATTTCATTATTTAGAAGCCTGGATCTTCTTCACACTCCTTACACGCAACGGCACAGAATCTCATAGGATTATTGAAACGCGATATTCCTGGATTCCACAATACAGCTTTATCAATTCTTAGTAGTAATCGGGATAATTACATCTCTGCATTTTTTGTAGCACTTGATCGTTATGATGATCGTATACATTCAAAGATGAAGCTGCTTCTTGAGTAAGAATCTTAGAATGATGAGAATTGATTTTTTCTCTTGTTCCGTCAGTTATTTTCGATTTTCCTGATACATTTCTAAAACTAGCCCCAATCACAATTGTTGGCTTTATTTGATACTTTAGAGATTTTTATTGTGATACTTGATAAAAAATGAGTATATCTCTACAGGAAATATGATTCATTATATAGTAATACAAACTGTGGTGCGATTATTTGCGAAATCGATCACTTGCACAAATTGAGCCGCTCTGTGGAAAGTAAGCGTGATCAGGTTTGTTAACTGTACTTCGCCATTTATTTCATTGCGTTTCGCTTAACATAAAACTGTTGATATTTTCACAGATTTAACTATGCTATGTAAATATTTGTTTGGAAATAGCTGTTATTAAGCTTTTTTAATTTTTTTTAACGGCTGTTTCATGTGCAAAGTTGCACAAATGTCATTAAACTATTAATTATATCTTTTAGTTGCTGGAGTTGTTACGCGAACCATCTTACCATCCTTCGAATTGTCCACCGTTGCGCCAAATAAAATCTTTGTACACAGCCTTCTCATCAAGTTCAAAAAGAAATTAAGATTCTGATGACTCTCAGAAATACTTAGTTAACTTTTAAGAGGCTTTGTTAAATTCCGTCTTTAATGTAGTGTACTTATTGCCTGTATCAGCCAAGACTTTGTATTTAAACTTCTGATTTGTAAATTGATGTAAAAGTGTGCAGCTATGTATCTTAAGTAGAATTTGCAAACTTCTCATTACACTTAATTAAGTATATTTCGACTCATCACTAAATATGAACCTGCGTTTTAGCCATATAGCAGGATATCTGAACTAGAGAATTTCGTCAGGAACAAAAATCAAAAACATGAGTAGCCATTATAAGCTTAAACAATAGGAAAATACTTGGATAGGTATCTGATTTTCTCGTGTTGGGATAGTTTACGCTGAAATTCGTTTGCGTACAATTGGTGTATTCTTTAGAATGGCTTGAAATTCATGGTGAAGTAATTGTAAGTATGTAACGTGTATAAAGTGAAGGTTATAGTTTCTTTTTGCAATGAGAATAGAATTACGAGCACTGCACAAGCATGTCCATTTTATTAAAATGCGTAAACTTTTGTCAATAACAAAAAATCAAAGACATGAGAAGCTGCTAAAAGCTTAAACAATCGGATTCAGTGAGTTGAAGAAAAAAGTTCGATTCAGTGAGTCACAACTATTTGATGAAGTGTATCGAAGGGCTCAACATGCCAATGTGGATTGTTAGGTTTCTGAGAAGCATCACTTCCAGGTGGTCGGTTACATTGAAAAGCAATGGAGAAACCATTATGGAGAGAAAAATACAGCTTCAGGGAATCCTTCAACATGGTAGCCTTTCTCCGCTACTGTTCATTTTATGCATGGACTCGCTGAGCCGTAAGTTCAATATCAGATACCCAAAGGTAGAGGTTACCATTGATCAAGGAGTGCATATAACGAACCATTTATTATTTGTGGATGATCTCAATGCCGACGAAGATGTCATGAAAGCTATGGCCGAAGAAGTCCAGTTGCTTGAAATTGTAGGGTTAGAGGTGAATCCAACGAAGTCAGCCACTAATACAGAGGTATGCGATGATAAGGCGGTACTCTTGGAAGGAACTCAAGGGTATAAATACCTTGGCATAATGGAGGACGGGACTAGCGCTCCGACTTGAGAAAGCTACGATGAAGTGCGAGCAGAGATTTTTGCGAGAACTGAAGGACTCGCCAAAAGTGTACTAAATGACAAGAACTTTAAGGCAGTAAATGAATACGCCATATGATTAATAAATTATTATACTTGCGTACTCAAACTGGACTCAGAGGACTTCAGAGCAATTGACCATGATATCAGGAAGTTACTAATTAAGTACTTAAGTACGGAATTCACATCAAACCTGCATCTTTGGAGAGACGAGCTAGAACGTGGACTTCACTGTGTTGAACAAAGAAGTAAGCTTATGCCTCTGCAACCTTATAACGTACTTGTAGAGAGCGCGCCCATATCTATGAAAAAAGCGGCAATTTTGAGGCAGGAAAAGACTATGGGCACAAGGGATTGTATTTTTCTTTCAGTTTTGAATTTCATTGTAAATCTCAAAACTTCACATGCAATGCGGTCTTATTTCTCCGAGTTCAGATTTCTGTCATCGGAACGTTTTGGTAATCACATTGGTGCAATCATGAGTCAGCGCGTACTGATTTGTGAAATTTGAGCAAGTTCTACTTTTGGATTTCTTGTCACATCCAAGGTAATCACACAGATATACTTTGGTGTGCGCTAACTTTTGTTCTAGATTTCTTGTCATGCCAAAGATAAAGATGTGATCTCCATTTAGCATATAGTTCAGTCTGATTCACTTTCGAGTTCCTTACTACATGAAAGATAGATGTACACAAATAAAACATCTTCATCATTGTCGCTAATATTTTCTACTACTGTAGCAGCGTCAGATCTGAGACTTTTCTTTTGCTTGCTTTCTCTTCGTCGTAACATTATTTCTGCATATCCATTATCGACTTCGTTCGAAAATGCAAATTTCTAAATTTTAAAGACTCTTTCTATTGTTAATAGCAGTTGACTACTACCAGTGAATGAATTGCTTTCAAGTGTTTCCTAATGTTATAAGAGTCGAACCTTTTATTTAGATACCTTTTCAGGCGATATGTAAACATGTTAGATGGATACAATTAACAGAATCTCAGATTTGACAATGTATTAAAGATTAAACAACGTAAAAAAAAGTGTTCTTTCATTTAGTAGCAGCAATTTTTGACATTGTCACTTTTCAATTAATATTGCATACTAAGAAGTAGATGGGAAAAATCATGAACTAAAACTCTTCGAGCAAATGTTGAGTAAATAGTATTCAGATAAAGGCAATTTGTAGTTCAACCATGAAGTATGGATAGAATCTTACCGATAATATTCTACGATTCAGAAGCTGGAACTTTTACTTGATCTACACTGAGATTAGTTTCTGGTTTTTATTCCATATTTGCCCATTACTGGTCCACGATATTATCAGATGCCTTGGAAGGCAGAGAAACTGGAAAATAACTTAAGCTGCTAGAGTCCAGGGGTATGGCATGATTTTCTACTGAGTCTACCATTAAATTCGGATGATCAAGTGCAGCTTCTTGATTGCTATCAGTAATTTTTGGCAAAGGATCATACACTTCTGAAAAATTAGTTAATCATATGACAGAAATAATCCCAAGAACAGCGCAAGATTTATTCAAAAAATGGATGGATCGATGGATGGATAGAACCATATCAATAATATCATCTATAACGAAAAACAAGAAAACATTCTAACCCGTACCACATCTATGTTGGGATCAGTTTCTTGTTGCTGCGAGAATTTTGACCAAAACTGGTCCTCGTTATCATCAGATTCCTCGCAAGACAGAGGGAATGAAAAACCCAAGTTGTCAGAGTCCGATGGTATAGCATGGTTCTCTTCAGAGTCTATTTTAAAATCTTAATAATTAGATACAATTACTCCATGATACTGCTATGATCTTCGGGAAGATCGGAAGGCTCCATCGGAAGGCACGGTTTGTTGCTCACTTTTTTAAATTTTGCTAGTTTTGTAAATGATAGTTTTCACGGAAATATAATTTCTAGTTCAACCATAAAAATGAGCAACAAACTGTATTTACTTCTGGGCACAACATCTGTGAGGCAATAGTTATCCAAAACTTGTTGTCCCGAAACTTCATTGCGACAGATAAATGACTAGCTCAAGTAGGATATCCGTAAATAAACAAAGGCACCTGAAATTGATCTGCTGTAGAATTTCTTTATATACATACAGAAGTAAACTAATATTGCTATGATGCTTTCTTATAACACAGAGTAAAGAATAATTAAATAACAAATACCGCTCTGTCTATGCGTTGTATCAACACCGAATTATTACATGGCATTAGGGAATATTTCGCTCATTTAAAAGCGTGAAGGAAAGGCCAGAGGTCATGTCAAGTAATAAATCAAATCTGTTTGCATGAACACCTTGTTTAATTTTAACGAATAAAATATGACATATTTCGTTCACAAAATCAAAAACAATTTGGGTTGGATACAGAAGACGGCTTAGACTCTATTTTTCACTAACTGACTAAACTCAGAGATACAAAACTTGTGACCTCTCCAACAAGACAAACATAGCACCGAAATTTGCAAGAAATGCTACGAAATACATAAAATTTTTAGTACCGAACTGTTTTCCGAGATTGCCTCTCAATCTTTTCCTAATGAATACGTTCTCTCTCATCTATATTTTTTATCTTTTTCCCGACAAAAACATCTCTTTATGCGTCTGTATGGCATCTCTTTTTCTCATCATAAAGTAACAATTACTTTTTGGTATCATTTCAATTGATTACTTTACTGCGGTGTATTTTCGTATTTCGTTTTTGCGCAGTTAAGATTCATAATACCCGAATGATGACGGAAGTGAGGGAAATGGTTTTTAGCAAATTTGAAGTACAGCAATGGGTTGAATCCGATGAACGTAATAGAAAGAGTAACTTATGAGCACAATGTGTACATAGATGAATGCCCCGAAAGCATAACTCGAAGTGCGTGCAGACGAGTTATTATGATTGAAGGCGAGAAGCCCTTATATGAGGTTTGTGTGGGAGACTGGCATTCCTTCTCTTGCTCTGATTACCAAATTTGAAAGTGTAACTCTCGTAGAAGAGCTTTGGACATCAGAATCCGTTCATCGAGCATGCAATGCAAAGCAAAGCATTGCTAGCAATCACTGAGTGCTAGATCAGATCAGAATGCAAAGTAAAATGTTTCTGAATTTAAACTCAAAAGAGCTCTCTGAATTTCTGAAATGTCATGCAGTATTAAGGGCAGTAATGGTGGCTCCATCATAATGTACGTAAATTCTTGGCCTATGCTGGTGGGAGTGCTCTCAGCTCGTCAAAATGTTGGCAAAGCGTATGTGAGTTTAAATTTGTTGCAGAATGAATATTTCACTTCTTGCCAATATTTATTTTGGATTTGTTATTGAAATTTTATTTTTGAAGTTTTTTTTTTTCCTTTTAGTGATTGCAACTTCAGCGAGAACAATGATTGAAGCGCTGAAAATGTTTGTGTATGAATGACACTACTCAGAACTTTGATTTTATACAAGTGAGTCTTTTTCTGTTTTATGACACAAATCATCAAGTTAGAATAATCATGAAGCAGAAAGTTGCAAACGTGAAATAAGAAGTAATTTTGTGGGTGGGGAATCAGATCACTTTCTGCAAGTATATATGAGAAGGTTGCAGCAGATATTTGCTTACCTCAAGAAGTTATGAGCTGTAGGGAAAAGCCCGAGATAATTATTGCTTACAAGAGCTCCTGTCATTTTATGAGCAATTATTTGGAGCAGAGTGGATATCCAATCAAAAAAGTGTAGTTTGTAAAAGTAGCCAGCTCTTTATTGCAGTAGCAACCGACTGTTAATATGGTGGTAATAATGCAGAAACCAAGCTGATAATTGGTACCATTTCAATGATTTTCGACAACACTCACTTCCAACTAAAGACAGTTACGCTGCAGCAATCTGATATGAAAACAGAGTTTTAGAAATAGTCACTTCCACCGAATAAGACAACTATATTTTTTAACGAAAGGATTGGGTGCTCACTTCGGAGTTACTCGACGAAAATATGGAATTATATGTTTTTCTGACGCTAAGTCTCAAATTTCCTGTCGAGTCCTAAATATTCACATAGAATTTTTATGAATTTTGTGATGACGAATTTTGCTGCACAACCATTTGAATTTCTGATCACATCCAGAATAATCACATCGATACGGTTTGGAGTTAATGTGTACCAAGTTGTGATAGTCTAAATTAATTTTATTTTTGAACTTCTTGTCACATCCAGGAAAAGCACACTGATACGGTTCGTAATCGGTGTGTACTAGTTTGTGTTTTTTTAAAGTGGTTTTATTTCTGAATTTCTTGTCACATCCAGGATGATTACACTGATAAGATTCTGTAATATTGTGTTCTAAGTTGTGCTTTGTTAGCTGAGCTTTAGTTCTGAATTTCTTATCACAGTTAAGATAGACACACTGGTATGG